GTGTGTGTCTGTGTGTGAGTGTGTGTGTGAGTGTGTGTGTGTGTTTTGGTTTTGGTTTTGGTTTTGGGATGAGGTCTTGAGATACGTTTTAATTCCTTGGTGTATCTATTTACAATACTAAGACCTACTTATGGGACAAGTAATCTTAATATTTTCGTCTAGAAATGTCTAAATCAGACTGTTCTAATTTTACTTTTCAATAAAACCGTCTTGACTGTACTTTTCTAATTTTACTTTTCAATAAAACCGTCTTGACTGTGCTTTTCTGTTCACAGATGTACCTCCCTTAACTGCGACACCAACTGGGAAAGTAAGTAAAACGGATGGAAATCAAATGGGAATAACTCTGTATGTTTTGTTTTGTTTTGTTTTGTTTTTCCCCTCTCATGTCCTTTTATTTACACTCGCTGTCGTAATTAGTAATACTCCATTTTTTAATTTTTGTTTGTTTGTTTGTTTGTTTGCTTTTGTGTGTGTGTGTTGTTGTTGTTTTTTTTTTGTTGTTGGGGGGGGGGTTGTTTGTTTGTTGTTGTTGGGGGTTGTTGTTGTTTTGTTTTTTTGGGGGGGGTCTTCTTTTTACGACAAAAATGATAATAATACATAAACTAGCTATGCTTAATCCTCTTATTTTTCTGATATTTTTATGTTTGGAAAAAGGTTCTTGTATTGATCGGTCTTCCTGTTCTATGAAGTGACCGTTTGTTGGATTAGCCGGCCCGATTTGGCACTGTCAGTGTATGGGTAATTATGTGAAGCGCAGTGGGAAAAGGTGGGAGGGGGCGGGGGGGGGAGGAGAGATAGAACAAGGGACAAACGCTGAAAGGAGAAGAATTTAATACTAATGTAAAGTCATCTTAAGTGTCCCGTCCGTGGTGTTGAAATGACATAGTATTTTTTTACTCAGCTGCTCATTGTGTGGGTTGATGCTTGTCAGTTAGGAATGAGATTATAATCGGTCTGTCAGACCCTAAACAGTGACATATATTTACAGATGAACCTGCCTTAATGCGAGACAGACGATTTTTTAAATACAGCTCCCTTGAGATTCTGTCTTAGATACTGTTCGACTCTATATGACAATAGTGAAGAAGAACAAATAAGAAGACCAACCGTGCAACAACATATCACTGTTGTATACATGTTTTAAATTAACCAGTACAGACATCAAGTATCCTAGAGTCTGTTGTTTAAAAAATATTAATGTTTCTCTATTCTTTTATCCCCACCTGCCCCCCTGCCCCACC